CCGCCAGTGCCCCGCCGAGTACCAGCCATAGCCCTCGAAGCGTCGGAAGTTGAAGAGGACGGTGAAAAATGCCCAGCCCACATGGACGAACCAGTCCGTCTTCGTCTCCTCCTCCCTCTCGCCCGTCTCCTTCTTCCCTCGCTTCCCCTCTGCGTCCACCTGGTACTCCTCCGCCTTTCCACGGAGGCAGGCCTCGATGGCCTGTTTCTTCCTGGCGGGGATACCATGAACCTCCTCAAGATTGAGGAGTTTCAGTGCCTGGGATTGGCAAGATGTGGGTGGGGCGGGTGTGAGCGACGAGGAGTCGGGGCCTCACACTTCTGCTGCACCACACGACCCCCAGACCCTGGATCCACGGAGCATCGCGGGACGATCCTACAGTTTATTGCTCCCCCCGCCCCCCCCACCACACACACCACGACTACAAAAGGAAAGGAGTGGCCTGTGCTCACAGTGTACATCTACAATACACCTCTGCACCACCCATACCCCTCCCTCCGCAACATGCGGTGCTGATCCTCACCTCGGGCACAGTATACATTCTCCAATCTTCATGCTTGGGTAGCTGCAGCCCCGTCATCCTCGCCACGCCGCCCGGATGGTATTTTTCGTGCCGCCGCAAGAGGGCCCACAGCGTCGTCAGGGTGCCAGTAATATGCACCGCCTCGAAGCCCTGCCTGCAGGGCAGGAGGCTGAACAGCCGCCCGATGTGCCGCTCCTGCACGGGCTGCTGAGGCCCCTTGGCGGGGCCGCCGGCGGCATTCGCCGCGGCCTCCTTGCGCTTGGCCAGCGCCGCGCGCCGCTGCTTGCCCATGCCCCGCCGCTTGCTGGGGATGCCGGCGTCCTCTTTGGCCGCGTGCTGCTTCGCACGCTCCTCAACCTTGCGCTTGAGCTCTGTGGCTGCGGCTGCGGCTGCTGCGGCAGCTGCGGCTGCGGCTGCTGCGGCGGCTGACGCTGCAGTGTCACCGACCTATGCATGTAGGTAGGATCTGGGGCTGTTGAATACATGTGTAGCTGTGCTACCCATCTGTCAAACCCCTGGCCGCCCCCTCGAGGGTGCGAGAAAGTACTCGTGTCAAACCACAGCCAATGTTCATACACTCGCGCATTCCCGGTCGTCCCTCACCACTCACATCTGGGCGGTTTGCCTCATGTTGCGTCGCCTCCTCGCCCGCCTGCTCTTGTGGCGCGCTCTCTGGAGCCTGCGAGGGAGCTGGCGCGACCGGCTGTCGCCTTTCGCGCTCCGCGAGGAGTCGCCTGGCCAGCGGCAGGCAGAGGTGCGGATGATGTTCCCACAGACCCGACTTCGGCCTCTTCGGCATGCGCCGGCGGAGTTCGACGATCCAGTCCACCTGCTCCTGCGTGAATGGCACATGCCACCACGCAGCCGCCCTGCCTGGAGGGGGGTGGAGGTGCTGCATCGCTGCCGGTGGTAGGGCGTGGGGGCGGCGTGGTCGGGCGCGGCGGCCGGGGCGTGGGGGCGGCGT